CTACATCTCTGGAATTGAGTGGGGAACATTTCTTCTCTACCTTCAGTACTTCCAGAATTTTCTCCTCACACACCATATATGATTCATGTTGTGATTCAGGCACTCCATATAATATTACATTATTTCTCCTGTTTCTGCGTTCTTGAATTCATAGTAGATGTATTATAAATTCACCGGGTTTTGAGGGAATTGTTCGAAAAGCATTACTTAGAAGTTGGGTGGGGGCACGGGTGGCCCAGTCGTCTAAGGCGCCGCGATTCGCTGTGCACAGTTGCGTTTCTTGGGCACGCCAGAAACCTATGATTGTGGGTTCGAATCCCGGTTCGCCCCGATTATGTTTCTAGGTTTGTCAGCACCATACCCGTGCTCGTGGGTTTCACCGAAGTGGTAAACGCCTGAGACCTGCATCACTTCGGGCTTTCCTCCCACATTAAGCTGACATGCCGTGATATAATTGGAATACTGTTAAAAGCTTCGTCAAACCCAACTCCCACTCACTCACTCACTTAGAAGTTGACGGATGACAATGTACACACAATTTATGGATAACAACTTCTTTATTTTACTGTAACATCGACGTTTCGGTATAGATCCTTATACCGTTGTCAAGCAAGGCTGAATAATGAACATGGTACAATATATATATAGAAGGTGGAGGATTAACAGTAACAAACAATTGCATACATGAAAGAGATAAACATGAGTAAGTTAAATAATACACATGATAAGGAAGCCATTTAAACAGGATAAGTATACATAGGAGGGGTCGTTATTGTTTAATGAGTTCACAGTAGGCTGATAGGATGCAATGGCCTTGATCTCTGTTGATTGATGGTTGTGGCGGCGAATGTGGACTGCTTCTCTTTGTTTGCTTTTTGTGAAGTCCTTGAGTTGTTGGAGAGGATTTGGGCGGTTCATGTTGTGATTAGGGCAGTTGCTGATATGGTCCGAATGGCTGATTTACTGTCAGATTTGATGGTTGAAGTTTTGTGCTCTTTGATTCTGGTGTTGATGGGGCGGGATGTTTCACCTACATAGGATTGCCCCATATCATCAGCCTTCAACCCCAATATTGACCCCGACTTCGCCAGATCAACTCCCCTCAATTCTCTAAGAAGGGACAACGGCAGAAACACAACTAAACGCCAAGAACCTAAAGGTGTAGTTCATAAAATTGACTGTAACTGGACAATCCTATATAGGGAAAACATCCCGCCCTATAACTGTTTGCATTCATCTAGCACCCCCACATTTCTAAAAAGAAAACACGAAAAAAAGATTCAATAATTGTAGCCTTTTCCTGTTCACAAATCCTAAAGTGGACACTCATATATTAAGTCGACTATGAATTAATTAGTCATAGAATATTAAATACACGTAACGCCACATCAAATTAGCGGTATTAACTTATACTTTGAAACTGAGAGTTATCTCCCTTCCGTTAGTGCCGATCGTTGCCAAGCTACCGATATCAGCAAAACGACGCCATTTTATGTTGCCGCATCTGCTGTCTCTTTGTTCTCAATCTATAACCTGCCTTGGATTTTGAGCATCGCTTGAGTTTTTAAACATGCAGTCAAGTAGCTGTGTTCAAGGTACCAATGTGTCACAGTTTTATGTTGATTACGTTTCACCGTGTGGTTATATAATCGGCTACCGTCAGGTTGATGCTAATGTTTCATCACTAAGGTCTATAACTAGGCCTGTAGAAATCTCAACGTACTTCTACGTTTCTTAAGATATACTATACGCGTTTCCTCGCATTTTATATTTCTTTTTGGTACTTAAATTTCCTCAATGGCCAATGCTTACATAAATAGTGATTTTGTCCTGACCCCGGGTGAAGCGCACTAACAAATAGAATAAAATAAATACAACTGACACGAACGTGTATACATAAGATGATACCTATAAGGTATATACTTACAAGCTTACGTTTTTAATCAATGACTTTACAGTGTAAATAAGAATGTGCATGTTTTATTTATTTTCACTTCTCCCCAACACAGAGAGGATGTTTCACCAGGCTTTCACCCCTGCTGCCACCCCTGTCCCACGTCGAGTAGGTGTGCTAGGGTTGTAGAAACAGAATATGACTAACTTTTACAACAGATCCTTGTCTAAATCTCAGTGTGTCAAAGTGTTGATGTTCCATAACCTACTGTATTTCCACTTTCCTAACTCAAGATACACCACACCCTACCTATCACTAGTATCAGTATCACGTTTGTCTCATCATTTCTCTCTTTCCACTTCCCTCCCCACCAGCGTCCGTGTGTGTACCACCCTGAACCCCTGTCCACCCTGTCCACCCTCCCCACCTCCTACACCTCTGTCCCCGACCCAGCCCCTGTCTCTGTTTCTGTCAACATCACCGGCCACGTCATTATGGTTGACACCGACTTTGTGGAGATCGATCTCGGCCGTGAGGAAGACACACAACCCCTCCCACCCCAGTCCTTCCTGAGAGCCTTGCTGTCCCGCTTCATCCGTCTGGTCAAGAGAGTCTTCTCCTTCAACAAAAACGACGCTTAAAGTGATAATTTGTAACAATCTGAGAAGTCCCCTTTCCTCTTTTTTTATGGTCACTTTAGCAAATTAGTTATCATTCCCATTTTCCCATTTGGTTGTTCTTTCATTAGCATGATTAGTAAATTTTGTTGTTGTTCAAATTGTTGTTGGTTGCTTTATTCTATTATTAGTGTAGGAGCCTCCTTATGTATGGAACAAACTCAAACATAACCTGAAGCTACGAGTCACATTACACAATTCTGCATTCTGATTCTACATTTGTAGATCTGCTTAGGTCTGTGACAACTTGGCGAATATCGTATGCAATAGTTACAACAATAGGTTTAACAAGTTACTCGAACCAGAAATCGAACCTTGATCAGGGTGTGACGAGCGAACACTAACTGCTGTGCCATCCTTCAGTCAATCTGTTTTCAGATTTGCCAGTTTAAATGTTCAAATATTATGGAACACTAAATGGAAACCCCTCAAAAGATTACTAGCCGAGTGTGTGTAACTATATATGGAATAAAAAAATATATAATGTGAGCTCAGCAATTTGTTTGTACAAACCTGAGGACAATTATTTCCCCCACCCCAAATTCAAACACGTGTTTAAAATAGGGATGGTAAGAACATGAATATTGATGTATCAGGAAAGTTTTTGAAGAGAAGTCCTAACTCAGTAGACTATGGGCCATAAGACCTGGACATGATTTTCAGCACCTGTCTCCCTGGTCTTGAAACAAAATTGTATTTAATGTGCTCTTGATGCTGATTTTGTGGAACATCACAGGCCATGTTATTATGGTTGCTCGGTAACAGTATGCTATGAAGTTCTCAAACAATTTCTTACCAAAACAGGCCTAGGCTTCCTAACATTGAATTGAATTTGGTGAAACAGGTCAATAATATACTGGTATACTATATACCTGCAGAACTAATTACAGTTTACAGGATAATTATGATAATAATTTGTGTAATGTACCAGCAAAATTCAATTCGGAAATATTTAGGAAATATTTCTTCCTTGCCAATTATTTCCTAGCTTTCATAACTTACCTATGAATAAATTGATTCAATCTTTGTGATGGTCATGACAATATTATGGTTGACACTAACTTGAGACTGACTTATTTGAGATTTTGGCAGTGAAGAAGAAACAGAAACCCTCCCAGCCGTCCTTCCTGAGAAGCACGATGTCCCGTCCCATGTCATCAGAGTGGTCAAAAGCGCCTTCACCTCCAGCAAAAACGTTTAATTAAAGCTTTCCTTGGAACAAGTTCCAGGATATTTTGTTGGGTTCATGAACTTTTCATCTTGTTAATTATTTCCATATGGTTTCAGTTGTATAAATAAATGTTTTTGTTGTTCAAACTGTTTTTTGCTGTTATATTTTATCAATGTTAGTGCCTCCTAAATTATCAAAAGCGTGAATAACATCCTAAAACGATGCTACAGAATTCTGGTTCTTGTCTAGTAGTAAGTCTAGGTTAGATCTAATAACCAAATAGGTTTATACATTATGAGGTATAGATTAGCGCATCTTTTTATATTGTATGCACAATCATTGACGTTATTTTTTATGAAATATCATCAAGAATGAATTCCGCCTCTGAGGACAGGGATGATTTTGAAATAACTAAAGTGCTTGACAAACCTAGCCTGACTCTAGATATTGAATCACAGCTCTTTATTAAAAGAATGCGACCAGACGATATTGACACTTCTAATGGAATGTCTTCATTAAAGAAGGTTTGTCGCCATTCCAAATGAACCCTGTAGGAAACTAGGAATTCCACAGAGTAGAATAGGTCCTTGGTATCCATTGCTGGCCATAAGAGCCAAAAGCAAGATTCTTGCTCATGCTTTCAGTCACTGGTTTGTGTGATCATGACTTGATATCATATACAAGCCGGCGTGATACAGCTTACTTCCGTGTGGTCACAGATATCAATGTATATTTTCCGTTTACGAGAGTAAATAAAATGAGAAATTTGCAACACTGTTCAACCTCAATAGTTTATGCTTCGAAAAGCTTGAAGCTTCTGTCATAGTTATCACAAGTGACAATTGTCCTATCTGACATTTTATTGAAAAAAGTCCAACTATTCTTTGGCCATACTTTGTATTGTTGATTTTTTGTTTTGTTTGTTCTTTAACGCCGCACTCACCAATATTCCAGCTATATGACGTAAGGTATATGACATGTAAATAATCGAATCTGGACAAGACAATCCAGTGATTGACATCATGAGCATCGATCAACGCAATTGGCATACAAAGACATGCATCAACCAAGTCAATGGTCCTGACCACCCGATCCTCGTTAGTTGCCTTTTGAAAGCTTGTTTGCTTGTTTGTTTGTTTTCTTGTTTGTTTGTTCTTTAACGCCGCACTCACCAATATTCCAGCTATATGACGTAAGGTATATGAAATGTAAATAATCGAATCTGGACAAGACAATCCAGTGATTGACATCATGAGCATCGATCAACGCAATTGGCATACAAAGACATGCATCAACCAAGTCAATGGTCCTGACCACCCGATCCTCGTTAGTTGCCTTTTGAAAGCTTGTTTGCTTGTTTGTTTGTTTTCTTGTTTGTTTGTTGTTTAACGCCGCACTCAGCAATATTCAAGCTATATGACCGCCGTCTGTTAATAATCGAGTCTGGACCAGACAATCCAGTGATTGATATTATGAGTATCCTTCCACGAAATCGGGATACGATGACATGCATCAACAAAGTCAGCGAGCCTGACCACCCGAACCTGTTTGTCGCCTTTTACGACAAGCATAGTCACCTTTTACGGCAAGCATGGGTTGCTGAAGACCTCATCTACCTCGGATCTTCACGGGCCCAGATTACATTGAATCCATGCATATACAAACATGTACTATCAACACAAGACTTGTAGTGCACATGCACGCAAGCACTGGCACTACTTACTGTCATCCAAATGAAAATCCAATTCTTCAGAAAAAATGTGTTCTGTCTAATCGCTGTAGATGAGATTTCTCTTGAAAACATGATGTCACCATTAGATGATTTCACTCATAGTGGTATGTGGGGCAGCCAATTGTCTGAATCCCTCGCCCGTTAGCCTGAACAACTTGGTTCCATTATTTGTAATATGGGTATACAGCGGTAGAAAGTAACAGTTTTAGTGATATAACTTATAATGATAACATATAGAAAAAACCTTAAAAATGGAAAATTTCTACTAGTCCTTATGATACCTTAACTATTGGGCAGTTTGGCAAGGACCACGGGACTAGTGCCAATTTGTAACGCTGGGTTTATCAGAAAAGTTGGCAATTTCAACTCCTACTAAAATGCACTGAAAGGCAAAGGAAAGAAGCCACCAATTTCGAGGACAAATAAAGTAAAAATTTCATTCGGTAAATATTAAACCTGTTTAATTCATAGACAAAACAGGTTCTTACAGGATCACAATAACTAATTTTGTCTCACAAGCCACAATCTGTCACTGTTTCATTGAAGGTGATGAAAGATGGCAGGGTCTTGAACAGAAGTTCAACAAAAACAACCAAGTAGAAGTTTTAAGCTCAACAATGTCATCTTCTCCAAAATCAGACTTCGTTCCTGTTCTGGCGTTATAGTCTCCGCCACAAATAACAATAGCATCTCTTAATTCTGATAAAATGTCCCACAAACTGTTTGGAAATATTATGATGCCATTTTTACAATCAACAGATAAAATGTTATAACAGCTAGATCCCTCAAGATGGATATAAACACATGCATATGATACGTCAGATTGACGGCAGCGCAAGGAATTATCTATCTATATATATATATATATACACACACACACACACACACATACAATTTTCCGTTATTTTACATCGTTTAATATATTTTGTAGTTGCTTCTTTACAAGTACTGTTATCACACCTGAAAGTCTGCCTGTCTTAGACAGCCTATCAGCATCTTTAATATAAAGGGTAAAGTCTGTGAAAGTGACCTTCACATCCTCTACATTCTCCAACCAAGTTTCGGTTACACCAATTATATCAAATTTGTTCACATATTTGACAACGTCATTATCTGTTAACACATATATTATGCCTGAGACTTTCCAGAAGAGAAAGTTAGTGAAGCTATTATTACTGTCGCTTCTCTCACTTGATGGGTTCTCTTGATGAGCAGTAAAATCAGCGTATAGGCCCTGGCCACACCCCTTTCTCTGTCTCCCTACTGCTGACCTCTGTGACCTCGAGCGCGTATCCCGTCTCTCATCCTGTTGTCTTTCCTCTCTCTCACCCTCTGTGCCTCCAGATATGCTTTCCTGTGCAGCTTGGGGGCACGGGTGGCCCAGTCGTCTAAGGTGCCGCGATTCGCTGTGCAGAGTTGCGTCCCTCGGACACGCCAGAAACCTATTATCGTAGGTTCGAATCCCGGTTCACCCCGATTATGTTTCTAGGTTTGTCAGCACCATACCCTGTGCTCGTGGGTTTCACCGAAGTGGTAAACGTCTTAGACCTGCATCACTTCGGGCTTTCCTCCCACATTAAGCTGACACGCCGTGATATAACTGGAATAATGGTAAAAGCGGTGTTAAACCCAACTCACTCACTCACTCCTGTACATCTTCATCTTTTCTAGTATCTCTCCTCTCTTTGGCTTCCCTCACTAATTTCCCTTCTTTGTAGTAGAACCGTGTGTCTGGTTCGTCTTTTCTGCATTTTAGTAATTCCTGTCTCTGATTCAAAGTCAAGTCATTAGAGATGCCATATCCTTTATCTTTAAGGACGATCCACATTGACACAGCTTGCATTTTGTCGTCCCACTGCAGCATCTTCACGATAAGGTTTATTAGGCTTCTTCGTCGGCATACGATGTGCACGTTTCTACATCCCTGGAATTGAGCGGGGGAATTTCTTCTCTATCTTCAGTACTTCCAGAACTTTCTCCTTACACACCATATATGATTCATGTTGTAATTCAGGCACTCCATATAATATTACTTTATTTTTCCTGTTTCTGCGTTCTTGGATTCATAGTAGATGTATTATAAATTCACAAAGTTTTGAGGGAATTGTTCGATAAGCATAACTTAAAAGTTGGGTGGGCCCAGTCGCCTAAGGCGCCACGATTCGCTGTGCAGAGTTGCGTCCCTTTGGCACGCCAGAAACCTATGATTGTGGGTTCGAATCCCGGTTCGCCCCGATTATGTTTCTAGCTTTGTCAGCACCATACCTGTGCTCGTGGGTTTCACCAAAGTGGTAAACGCCTGAGACCTGCATCACTTCGGGCCTTCCTCCCACGTGAAGCTGACATGCCGCGATATAACTTGAATACTGTTAAAAGCTGCGTTGAACCCAACTCACACTCACTCACTCACTTAGAAGTTGACGGATGACAATGTACACACAATTTATGGATAACAACTTCTTTATTTTACTGTAACATCGACGTTTCGGTATAGATCCTTATACAGTTGTCAAGCAAGGCTGAATAATGAAAATGGTACAAAATATATATAGAAGGTGGAGGATTAACAGTAACAAACAATTGCATACATGAAAGAGATAAACATGAGTAAGTTAAATAATACACATGATAAGGAAGCCATTTAAACAGGATAAGGATACATAGGAGGGGTCGTTATTGTTTAATGAGTTCACAGTAGGCTGATAGGATGCAATGGCCTTGATCTCTGTTGATTGATGGTTGTGGCGGCGAATGTGGACTGCTTCTCTTTGTTTGCTTTTTGTGAAGTCCTTGGACTTGTTGTTGGAGAGGATTTGGGCGGTTCATGTTGTGATTAGGGCAGTTGCTGATATGGTCCGAATGGCTGATTTACTGTCAGATTTGATGGTTGAAGTTTTGTGCTCTTTGATTCTGGTGTTGATGGGGCGGGATGTTTCACCTACATAGGATTGCCCCATATCATCAGCCTTCAACCCCAATATTGACCCCGACTTCGCCAGATCAACCCCCCTCAATTCTCTAAGAAGGGACAACGGCAGAAACACAACTAAACGCCAAGAACCTAAAGGTGTAGTTCATAAAATTGAATGTAACTGGACAGTCCTATATAGGGAAAACATCCCGCCCTATAACTGTTTGCATTCATCTAGCACCCCCACATTTCTAAAAAGAAAACACGAAAAAAAGATTCAATAATTGTAGCCTTTTCCTGTTCACAAATCCTAAAGTGGACACTCATACATTAATTCGACTATGAATTAATTAGTCATAGAATATTAAATACACGTAACGCCACATCAAATTAGCGGTATTAACTTATACTTTGAAACTGAGAGTTATCTCCCTTCCGTTAGTGCCGATCGTTGCCAAGCTACCGATATCAGCAAAACGACGCCATTTTATGTTGCCGCATCTGCTGTCTCTTTGTTCTCAATCTATAACCTGCCTTGGATTTTGAGCTTCGCTTGAGTTTTTAAACATGCAGTCAAGTAACTGTGTTCAAGGTACCAATGTGTCACAGTTTTATGTTGATTACGTTTCACCGTGTGGTTATATAATCGGCTACCGTCAGGTTGATGCTAATGTTTCATCACTAAGGTCTATAACTAGGTCTGTAGAAATCTCAACGTACTTCTACGTTTCTTAAGATATACTATACGCGTTTCCTCGCATTTTATATTTCTTTTTGGTACTTAAATTTCCTCAATGGCCAATGCTCACATAAATAGTGATTTTGTCCTGACCCCGGGTGAAGCGCACTAACAAATAGAATAAAATAAATACAACTGACACGAACGTGTATACATAAGATGATACCTATAAGGTATATACTTACAAGCTTACGTTTTTAATCAATGACTTTACAGTGTAAATAAGAGTGTGCATGTTTTATTTATTTTCACTTCTCCCCAACACAGAGAGGATGTTTCACCAGGCTTTCACCCCTGCTGCCACCCCTGTCCCACGTCGAGTAGGTGTGCTAGGGTTGTAGAAACAGAATATGACTAACTTTTACAACAGATCCTTGTCTAAATCTCAGTGTGTCAAAGTGTTGATGTTCCATAACCTACTGTATTTCCACTTTCCTAACTCAAGATACACCACACCCTACCTATCACTAGTATCAGTATCACGTTTGTCTCATCATTTCTCTCTTTCCACTTCCCTCCCCACCAGCGTCCGTGTGTGTACCACCCTGAACCCCTGTCCACCCTCCCCACCTCCTACACCTCTGTCCCCGACCCAGCCCCTGTCTGTGTTTCTGTCAACATCACCGGCCACGTCATTATGGTTGACACCGACTTTGTGGAGATCGATCTCGGCCGTGAGGAAGACACACAACCCCTCCCACCCCAGTCCTTCCTGAGAGCCTTGCTGTCCCGCTTCATCCGTCTGGTCAAGAGAGTCTTCACCTTCAACAAAAACGACGCTTAAAGTGATAATTTGTAACAATCTGAGAAGTCCCCTTTCCTCTTTTTTTATGGACACTCTAGCAAATTAGTTATCATTCCCATTTGGTTGTTCTTTCATCAGCATGATAAGTAAATTTTGTTGTTGTTTAAATTGTTGTTGGTTGCTTTATTCTATTTTTAATATGGGAGCCTCCTTACGTATGGAACAAACTCAAACATAACCAAAAGCTACAAGTAACATTACAGAATTCTGCATTCTGATTCTACGTTTGTAGATCTCCTTAGGTCTGTGACAAGTTGGCGAATATCGTATGCAATAGTTACAACAATAGGTTTTACAAGTTACTCGAACCAGAAATCGAACCTTGATCAGGGTGTGACGAGCGAACACTAACTGCTGTGCCATCCTTCAGTCATCCGTTTTCAGATTTGCCAGTTTAAATGTTCAAATATTATAGAACACTAAATGAAAACCCCTCAAAAGATTACTAGCCGAGTGTGTGTAACTATATATGGAATAACAAAATATATAATGTGAGCTCAGCAATTTGTTTGTACAAACCTGAGGACAATTATTTCACCCACCCCAAATTCAAACACGTGTTTAAAATAGGGATGGTAAGAACATGAATAGGGATGTATCAGGAAAGTTTTTGAAGAGAAGTCCTAACTCAGTAGACTATGGGCCATAAGACCTGGACATGATTTTCAGCACCTGTCTCCCTGGTCTTGAAACAAAATTGTATTTAATGTGCTCTTGATGCTGATTTTGTGGAACATCACAGGCCATGTTATTATGGTTGCTCGGTAACAGTATGCTATGAAGTTCTCAAACAATTTCTTACCAAAACAGGCCTAGGCTTCCTAACATTGAATTGAATTTGGTGAAACAGGTCAATAATATACTGGTATACTATATACCTGCAGAACTAATTACAGTTTACAGGATAATTATGATAATAATTTGTGTAATGTACCAGCAAAATTCAATTCGGAAATATTTAGGAAATATTTCTTCCTTGCCAATTATTTCCTAGCTTTCATAACTTACCTATGAATAAATTGATTCAATCTTTGTGATGGTCATGACAATATTATGGTTGACACTAACTTGAGACTGACTTATTTGAGATTTTGGCAGTGAAGAAGAAACAGAAACCCTCCCAGCCGTCCTTCCTGAGAAGCACGATGTCCCGTCCCGTGTCATCCGAGTGGTCAAAAGCGCCTTCACCTCTAGCAAAAACGTTTAATTAAAGCTTTCCTTGGAACAAGTTCCAGGATATTTTGTTGGGTTCATGAACTTTTCATCTTGTTAATTATTTCCATATGGTTTCAGTTGTATAAATAAATGTTTTTGTTGTTCAAACTGTTTTTTGCTGTTATATTTTATCAATGTTAGTGCCTCCTAAATTATCAAAAGCGTGAATAACATCCTAAAACGATGCTACAGAATTCTGGTTCTTGTCTAGTAGTAAGTCTAGGTTAGATCTAATAACCAAATAGGTTTATACATTATGAGGTATAGATTAGCGCATCTTTTTATATTGTATGCACAATCATTGACGTTATTTTTTATGAAATATCATCAAGAATGAATTCCGCCTCTGAGGACAGGGATGATTTTGAAATAACTAAAGTGCTTGACAAACCTAGCCTGACTCTAGATATTGAATCACAGCTCTTTATTAAAAGAATGCGACCAGACGATATTGACACTTCTAATGGAATGTCTTCATTAAAGAAGGTTTGTCGCCATTCCAAATGAACCCTGTAGGAAACTAGGAATTCCACAGAGTAGAATAGGTCCTTGGTATCCATTGCTGGCCATAAGAGCCAAAAGCAAGATTCTTGCTCATGCTTTCAGTCACTGGTTTGTGTGATCATGACTTGATATCATATACAAGCCGGCGTGATACAGCTTACTTCCGTGTGGTCACAGATATCAATGTATATTTTCCGTTTACGAGAGTAAATAAAATGAGAAATTTGCAACACTGTTCAACCTCAATAGTTTATGCTTCGAAAAGCTTGAAGCTTCTGTCATAGTTATCACAAGTGACAATTGTCCTATCTGACATTTTATTGAAAAAAGTCCAACTATTCTTTGGCCATACTTTGTATTGTTGATTTTTTGTTTTGTTTGTTCTTTAACGCCGCACTCACCAATATTCCAGCTATATGACGTAAGGTATATGACATGTAAATAATCGAATCTGGACAAGACAATCCAGTGATTGACATCATGAGCATCGATCAACGTAATTGGCATACAAAGACATGCATCAACCAAGTCAATGGTCCTGACCACCCGATCCTCGTTAGTTGCCTTTTGAAAGCTTGTTTGCTTGTTTGTTTGTTTTCTTGTTTGTTTGTTGTTTAACGCCGCACTCAGCAATATTCAAGCTATATGACCGCCGTCTGTTAATAATCGAGTCTGGACCAGACAATCCAGTGATTGATATTATGAGTATCCTTCCACGAAATCGGGATACGATGACATGCATCAACAAAGTCAGCGAGCCTGACCACCCGAACCTGTTTGTCGCCTTTTACGACAAGCATAGTCACCTTTTACGGCAAGCATGGGTTGCTGAAGACCTCATCTACCTCGGATCTTCACGGGCCCAGATTACATTGAATCCATGCATATACAAACATGTACTATCAACACAAGACTTGTAGTGCACATGTACGCAAGCACTGGCACTACTTACTGTCATCCAAATGAAAATCCAATTCTTCAGAAAAAATGTGTTCTGTCTAATCGCTGTAGATGAGATTTCTCTTGAAAACATGATGTCACCATTAGATGATTTCACTCATAGTGGTATGTGGGGCAGCCAATTGTCTGAATCCCTCGCCCGTTAGCCTGAACAACTTGGTTCCATTATTTGTAATATGGGTATACAGCGGTAGAAAGTAACAGTTTTAGTGATATAACTTATAATGATAACATATAGAAAAAACCTTAAAAATGGAAAATTTCTACTAGTCCTTATGATACCTTAACTATTGGGCAGTTTGGCAAGGACCACGGGACTAGTGCCAATTTGTAACGCTGGGTTTATCAGAAAAGTTGGCAATTTCAACTCCTACTAAAATGCACTGAAAGGCAAAGGAAAGAAGCCACCAATTTCGAGGACAAATAAAGTAAAAATTTCATTCGGTAAATATTAAACCTGTTTAATTCATAGACAAAACAGGTTCTTACAGGATCACAATAACTAATTTTGTCTCACAAGCCACAATCTGTCACTGTTTCATTGAAGGTGATGAAAGATGGCAGGGTCTTGAACAGAAGTTCAACAAAAACAACCAAGTAGAAGTTTTAAGCTCAACAATGTCATCTTCTCCAAAATCAGACTTCGTTCCTGTTCTGGCGTTATAGTCTCCGCCACAAATAACAATAGCATCTCTTAATTCTGATAAAATGTCCCACAAACTGTTTGGAAATATTATGATGCCATTTTTACAATCAACAGATAAAATGTTATAACAGCTAGATCCCTCAAGATGGATATAAACACATGCATATGATACGTCAGATTGACGGCAGCGCAAGGAATTATCTATATATATATATATATATATATATATACACACACACACACACACACACACACACACACATACAATTTTCCGTTATTTTACATCGTTTAATATATTTTGTAGTTGCTTCTTTACAAGTACTGTTATCACACCTGAAAGTCTGCCTGTCTTAGACAGCCTATCAGCATCTTTAATATAAAGGGTAAAGTCTGTGAAAGTGACCTTCACATCCTCTACATTCTCCAACCAAGTTTCGGTTACACCAATTATATCAAATTTGTTCACATATTTGACAACGTCATTATCTGTTAACACATATATTATGCCTGAGACTTTCCAGAAGAGAAAGCTAGTGAAGCTATTATTACTGTCGCTTCTCTCACTTGATGGGTTCTCTTGATGAGCAGTAAAATCAGCGTATAGGCCCTGGCCACATCCCTTTCTCTGTCTCCCTACTGCTGACCTCTGTGACCTCGAGCGCGTATCCTGTCTCTCATCCTGTTGTCTTTCCTCTCTCTCACCCTCTGTGCCTCCAGATATGCTTTCCTGTGCAGCTTGGGGGCACGGGTGGCCCAGTCGTCTAAGGTGCCGCGATTCGCTGTGCAGAGTTGCGTCCCTCGGACACGCCAGAAACCTATTATCGTAGGTTCGAATCCCGGTTCACCCCGATTATGTTTCTAGGTTTGTCAGCACCATACCCTGTGCTCGTGGGTTTCACCGAAGTGGTAAACGTCTTAGACCTGCATCACTTCGGGCTTTCCTCCCACATTAAGCTGACACGCCGTGATATAACTGGAATAATGGTAAAAACGGTGTTAAACCCAACTCACTCACTCACTCCTGTACATCTTCATCTTTTCTAGTATCTCTCCTCTCTTTGGCTTCCCTCACTAATTTCCCTTCTTTGTAGTAGAACCGTGTGTCTGGTTCGTCTTTTCTGCATTTTAGTAATTCCTGTCTCTGATTCAAAGTCAAGTCATTAGAGATGCCATATCCTTTATCTTTAAGGACGATCCACATTGACACAGCTTGCATTTTGTCGTCCCACTGCAGCATCTTCACGATAAGGTTTATTAGGCTTCTTCGTCGGCATACGATGTGCACGTTTCTACATCCCTGGAATTGAGCGGGGGAATTTCTTCTCTATCTTCAGTACTTCCAGAACTTTCTCCTTACACACCATATATGATTCATGTTGTAATTCAGGCACTCCATATAATATTACTTTATTTTTCCTGTTTCTGCGTTCTTGGATTCATAGTAGATGTATTATAAATTCACAAAGTTTTGAGGGAATTGTTCGATAAGCATAACTTAAAAGTTGGGTGGGCCCAGTCGCCTAAGGCGCCACGATTCGCTGTGCAGAGTTTCGTCCCTTTGGCACGCCAGAAACCTATGATTGTGGGTTCGAATCCCGGTTCGCCCCGATTATGTTTCTAGCTTTGTCAGCACCATACCTGTGCTCGTGGGTTTCACCAAAGTGGTAAACGCCTGAGACCTGCATCACTTCGGGCCTTCCTCCCACGTTAAGCTGACATGCCGCGATATAACTTGAATACTGTTAAAAGCTGCGTTGAACCCAACTCACACTCACTCACTCACTTAGAAGTTGACGGATGACAATGTACACACAATTTATGGATAACAACTTCTTTATTTTACTGTAACATCGACGTTTCGGTATAGATCCTTATACAGTTGTCAAGCAAGGCTGAATAATGAAAATGGTACAAAATATATATAGAAGGTGGAGGATTAACAGTAACAAACAATTGCATACATGAAAGAGATAAACATGAGTAAGTTAAATAATACACATGATAAGGAAGCCATTTAAACAGGATAAGGATACATAGGAGGGGTCGTTATTGTTTAATGAGTTCACAGTAGGCTGATAGGATGCAATGGCCTTGATCTCTGTTGATTGATGGTTGTGGCGGCGAATGTGGACTGCTTCTCTTTGTTTGCTTTTTGTGAAGTCCTTGGACTTGTTGTTGGAGAGGATTTGGGCGGTTCATGTTGTGATTAGGGCAGTTGCTGATATGGTCCGAATGGCTGATTTACTGTCAGATTTGATGGTTGAAGTTTTGTGCTCTTTGATTCTGGTGTTGATGGGGCGGGATGTTTCACCTACATAGGATTGCCCCATATCATCAGCCTTCAACCCCAATATTGACCCCGACTTCGCCAGATCAACCCCCCTCAATTCTCTAAGAAGGGACAACGGCAGAAACACAACTAAACGCCAAGAACCTAAAGGTGTAGTTCATAAAATTGAATGTAACTGGACAGTCCTATATAGGGAAAACATCCCGCCCTATAACTGTTTGCATTCATCTAGCACCCCCACATTTCTAAAAAGAAAACACGAAAAAAAGATTCAATAATTGTAGCCTTTTCCTGTTCACAAATCCTAAAGTGGACACTCATACATTAATTCGACTATGAATTAATTAGTCATAGAATATTAAATACACGTAACGCCACATCAAATTAGCGGTATTAACTTATACTTTGAAACTGAGAGTTATCTCCCTTCCGTTAGTGCCGATCGTTGCCAAGCTACCGATATCAGCAAAACGACGCCATTTTATGTTGCCGCATCTGCTGTCTCTTTGTTCTCAATCTATAACCTGCCTTGGATTTTGAGCTTCGCTTGAGTTTTTAAACATGCAGTCAAGTAACTGTGTTCAAGGTACCAATGTGTCACAGTTTTATGTTGATTACGTTTCACCGTGTGGTTATATAATCGGCTACCGTCAGGTTGATGCTAATGTTTCATCACTAAGGTCTATAACTAGGCCTGTAGAAATCTCA